TCACTGTGTCCGGAGGATACAGCGGGCACCGGATCGCGGTGGTGCGTGCTCCCAGGGAGCGCGCACAGCTAGAAAAGGCGGGTGCCGTTTATGAACGGCAACCCTGTCCATGGACTGCCACCGTCCTGCCGTTTATAAACAGCAGGCGGACAGCAAGAGGTTAATGGTTTTACTCTGACTGGTCTGTGGAAGAGAAGTTCGGGTGGCCTTTGCTTTGATGCAACACGTGCACTTGCTGAGTGTGTGGCAAGGCAATATTTTCATGTCTTCTGATAGACTTCTCTTTGCAAAGTCCTTTCTAGCTTCTGGGTTTCGATGCCCCAATCTTCTATGCCACAGGTGGATGCACTTGTCATGTGGGTTATGAGTTGCCGCATTAGCCTTCTCACTTTCAGTGATGATTTTGTACAGATGTTCATTTAATCTTCCTCTTGCTAGAATTTGCTTTCCATTTTGAATTGTGCATTCATTACCTCTGAACTGGACAGTGAGTCCATTGCTTGCAAGGGTTTTAACTGATAGGAGGCTTCCTTCTAGGCTTGGAACATATAGAACATTCTTTACAAGGATGCTCTGCTTGCCCCCTGATGGCGTTTTGCAGTTCAGAAATCCCTGATCCTTTACCTTCCGCTATAATACTTTTCCCATTTGCTAGGAAGACTTTATCTTTTACACTAAAATCAATTTCTGTGAAGAATGTTTCGTCGCTTGTCATGTGACTTGTTGCCCCTGAATCAATGTACCATCCATGTGAGGTACTATTCTGAGTCACTTTAAAAGTACCACTCCATGATGCACTTTCATTTTCTTTCATGATCGCTTTAGCTCTTTCTCTTGTGGGTAGCTCCCGCTTTTCCTGCTCAGCTTTCCAGATTGAACAGTTCTTTTTCAGGTGACCGGCCTTTTTGCAGCGAAAACATACAGTGGGGATCGAAAGTTTGGGCACCCCAGCTAAAAATTTGTATTAATGTGCATAAAGAAGCCAAGGAAAGATGGAAAAATCTCCAAAAGGCCTCAAATTACAGATTAGACATTCTTATAATATGTCAACAAAAGTTAGATTTTATTTCCATCATTTACACTTTCAAAATAACAGAAAACAAAAAAATGGCGTCTGCAAAAGTTTGGGCACCCTGCAGAATTTATAGCATGCACTGCCCCCTTTGCCAAGCTGAGACCTGCCAGTGTCATGGATTGTTCTCAATCATCGTCTGGGAAGACCAGGTGATGTCAATATCAAAGGTTTTAAATGCCCAGACTCATCTGACCTTGCCCCAACAATCAGCACCATGGGTTCTTCTAAGCAGTTGTCTAGAAAACTGAAACTGAAAATAGTTGACGCTCACAAAGCTGGAGAAGGCTATAAGAAGATAGCAAAGCGTTTTCAGATGTCAATATCCTCTGTTCGGAATGTAATTAAGAAATGGCAGTCATCAGGAACAGTGGAAGTTAAAGCAAGATGTGGAAGACCAAGAAAAATATCAGACAGAACAGCTCGCAGGATTGTGAGAAAAACAATTCAAAACCCACGTACGTATGACTGCACGATCCCTCCAGAAAGATCTGGCAGACACTGGAGTTGTGGTACACTATTCCACTATAAAGAGATACTTGTACAAATATGGTCTTCATGGAAGAGTCATCAGAAGAAAACCTCTTCTACGTCCTCACCACAAAAATCATCGTTTGAACTTTGCAAATGAACATATAGACAAGCCTGATGCATTTTGGAAACAAGTTCTGTGGACTGATGAGGTTAAAATTGAACTTTTTGGCTGGAATGAGCAAAGGTACGTTTGGAGAAGAAGGGGCACAGAATTTAATGACAAGAACCTCTGTCCAACTGTTAAGCATGGGGTTGGATCAATCATGCTTTGGGATTGTGTTGCAGCCAGTGGCACAGGGAACATCTCACGAGTAGAAGGAAAAATGGATTCAATAAAATTTCAGCAAATTTTGGATGGTAACCTGATGCCATCTGTGAAAAAGCTGAAGTTAAAGAGAGGATGGCTTCTACAAATGGATAATGATCCTAAACACACCTCGAAATCCACGGGGGATTACATCAAGAGGCGTAAACTGAAGGTTTTGCCATGGCCTTCACAATCTCCTGACCTCAACATCATTGAAAATCTATGGATAGACCTTAAAAGAGCCGTGCGTGACAGACAGCCCAGAAATCTCAAAGAACTGGAAGACTTTTGTAAGGAAGAATGGGCAAAGATACCTCAAACAAGAATTGAAAGACTCTTGGCTGGCTACAAAAAGCGTTTACAAGCTGTGATACTTGCCAAAGGGGGCAGTACAACATATTAACTCTGCAGGGTGCCCAAACTTTTGCAGACGCCATTTTTTTGTTTTCTGTTATTTTGAAAGTGTAAATGATGGAAATCTAACTTTTGTTGACATATTATAAGAATGTCTAATCCAGGGGTGGGCAAACTTTTTGACTTGAGGGCTGCAATGGGTTCATATATTGGACCCGGGGGCCGGACCAAGAGTAGATGAATGATGTGTATGTGTCATCCATAGTGTCATCCATAGTAAGTAAGTATAGTAATTAATCCCCCATAGTAAGCATAGTAATTCATCCCCCATATAATTCATCCTCCATAATTCATCCCCCATAGTAATTCATCCCCCATATAGTAATTCATCCCCCATATAGTAATTCATCCCCATATAGTAATTCATCCCCCATAGTAATTCATCCCCTATATAGTAATTCATCCCCCATATAGTAATTCATAGTAATTCATCCCCCATATAGTAATTCATCCCCCATATAGTAATTCATCCCCCATATAATTCATCCCCCATATAGTAATTCATCCCCCATAGTAATTCATCCCCCATATAGTAATTCATCCCCCATATAGTAATTCATCCCCCATATAGTAATTAATCCCCCATATAGTAATTCATCCCCCATAGTAATTCATCCCCCATATAGTAATTATCCCCCATAGTAATTCATCCCCCATAGTAATTCATCCCCCATAGTAATTCATCCCCCATAGTAATTCATCCCCCATAGTAATTCATCCCCCCATAGTAATTCATCCCCCCTATAGTAATTCATCCCCCCTATAGTAATTCATCCCCCCTATAGTAATTCATCCCCCATATAGTAATTCATCCCCCCTATAGTAATTCATTCCCCATAGTAATTCATTCCCCATATAGTAATTCATCCCCCATATAGTAATTCATTCCCCCATATAGTAAATTCATCCCCCATATAGTAATTCATTCCCCATATAGTAATTCATTCCCCCATATAGTAATTCATCCCCCATAGTAATTCATCCCCCATATAGTAATTCATCCCCCATATAGTAATTCATCCCCCATATAGTAATTCATCCCCCCCCCATATAGTAATTCACCCCCCTATAGTAATTCATCCCCCCTATAGTAATTCATTCCCCATATTAATTCATCCCCCATATTAAGTCCCCAAGTCCCCCCTGTGTCAATTCACTTACCTTTGCTCCGCGCGTTCCTCTCGCCCTGTTCCTGCGCCGTTCCGGTGTAGCATGAAAATCTGTCTCCTATGAGGATCTGTCCCCCTCGACGTATCTGCGCATGTGCCAGTTTCAGGCATTAGCAGCCGATCGGCGATCTCCGGCACATGCGCAGATACGTCGAGGGGGACAGATCCTCATAGGAGACAGATTTTCATGCTACATCGGTCTTCAGGGCGGACTGTGAGAGGAGCCTAGTGGGAGCCTAGCTCCGCGGGCCGGATTAAAAGGTCCGTCGGGCCATATACGGCCCGCGGGCCGTAGTTTGCCCATTGCTGGTCTAATCTGTAATTTGATGCCTTTTGGAGATTTTTCCATCTTTCCTTGGCTTCTTTATGCACATTAATACAAATTTTTAGCTGCGGTGCCCAAACTTTCGATCCCCATTGTACCCTGGTTTCTTTGCTTTGTCTTCTGCCTTCATGCACCTTCAGAGCTGCCTCTGGTCTCTCGTTCTCTTCACTATGCAAATCTTCCTTTCTTCTGCTGTATTCATCAATTAATTTTCCCTTAACATATTCTTAACAGTTCAGTTTCCGGTCTAGTTTCTAGAGCATTTATAAGGGCACTGTATGATTCTGGAAGGCTGCATAGCAGTAGTGCTACTACATGATTGTCTTTCATTTCTTCACCTATTGCACCCAGCTGGTCCACAATTTCTAGCATAGCATTTACATGTTCACCCATTTCCGGCCCGTTTTCCAGCCTCATCTTATACAGTTTTTGCGCAGCAGATATAGTTTACTGTTTAGGTTTGCACATTCATGCAGTGTTTGTAATGCAGTCCACATACCTTTAGCTGTGCTTTCTTTCCTGATATGAAGGAGTTGATCGTCCTCCACTAACAGGCTTATGACTGCTTTTGCTTGCCTGTTTTTTTCTGTCCCATTCTTCCGGGTTGTCATTGGGTCTGTGTGTATCTAGTACCTGCCACAAGTCATCTTTGGATAACAGCATTTCAAGCTTAAACTTCCATAGCTGGTAGTTGGTGTTGTTGAGCTTTGCTATTGTAAACTTCATATCTGAAGCACTTGCCATCTTTCAGTGAATTGGATACAGTTCTTGTTTCCTCACACAGGATTGTAAATGCAGCACTTACTTGCTTGTAGTTTTCCTTTTTCTCAGTGTCTGGAGCTGGGTCCATAACCGGTTGGTTATGTGTTAGAGAAGACACTAGTAGCTTGTGATGAGGCAGAACTTGGTTTACTTGTGTGGCTTAAGTTGCAAACATACAAAACATTTCAGCAAACTGTAACAGCAGACATCTTGGTTATAAAGAGAGAGAGAAGAGAAAAAGAACCAACAAGTTTTACAGATATGCACAACTGGTAACCTTAGTGTACAGTGCCATCTACTGGTCAAGTGATATTAACACACAATACTGTATATAGTACATGCTGTTGCATCCCCAACACCAATCAGCTCCTGTCTAGTAATCCTCTTTGACTTTGTATTTTAGTCCATGGCCGGGAGATGAGGAAAACCTCCGAGGATTGTCTCACTTTGTCTCCAGACTGGAAAGTAGAAGATGAGGACATCACACAGTATAGTCCAGGAGAAAACCCGGCTCCCTCCAATGTCCATCCGGCACCACCCAGTGTAGATGGACCATCGGATTCCTTGTATCCTGAGGACGGTCAGACTGTGCGGGACCGGGCCGGCCTTCTAACAGGGAAGAGCTTCTCCTGTACTGAGTGCGGGAAGGGTTTCCGTTCTAAATCCCATCTTAATGTGCACAAAAGATCTCACACAGGAGAGAAGCCGTATTCCTGTCCTGAGTGCGGGAAATGTTTTTCACAGATATCCAATCTTTACATTCATCAGAGATCTCACACAGGGGAGAAGCCGTATTCCTGTTCTGAGTGCGGGAAATGTTTTTCAGTGAAGTTCAGTCTTTACAGACATCAGAGATCTCACACGGGGGAGAAGCTATTTTTCTGCCCTGAGTGCGGGAAATGTTTTTCAGTGAAGTCCAAACTTCATAGTCATCAGAGATCTCACAGGGGGGAGAAGCCGTATTCCTGTCTTGAGTGTGGGAAGGGTTTCCGGCATAAATCCCATCTTAATGTGCATGAAAGATCTCACACAGGGGAGAAGCCGTATTCCTGTCCTGAGTGCGGGAAATGTTTTTCAGTGAAGGGCAATCTTTACACACACATCAAATATCTCACATCGGGGAGAAGCCACATTCCTGTCCTGAGTGCGGGAAATGTTTTTCAGTGAAGTCCAGTCTTTACAGACATCAGAGATCTCACACGGGGGAGAAGCTATTTTTCTGTTCTGAATGCGGGAAATGTTTTTTAGAGAAGTCCAAACTTCATAGTCATCAGAGATCTCACACGGGGGAGAAGCCGTATTCCTGTCCTGAATGTGGGAAATGTTTTTCAGTGAAGTCCCATCTTTACAGACATCAGAGATCTCATACAGATGAGAAGCCGTATTCCTGTCCTGAGTGCGGGAAATGCTTTTCAGTGAAGTCTCATCTTTACAGACATCAGAGTTCTCACACGCGGGAGAAGCCTTATTCCTGTCTTGAATGTGGGAAATGTTTTTCAGTGAAGTCCCTTCTTCACACACATCAGAGATCTCATACAGATGAGAAGCCGTATTCCTGTCCTGAGTGCGGGAAATGCTTTTCAGTGAAGTCCTATCTTTACAGACATCAGAGATCTCACACGGGGGGAGAAGCCATATTCCTGTCTTGAGTGTGGAAAATGTTTTGCGTGGAAGTCCATTCTTCATACACATCAGAGATCTCACAAGGGGGAGAAGCCATATTCTTGTCCTGAGTGCGGGAAATGTTTTTCAGTGAAGTCCAATCTTTCATACACATCAGAGATCTCACACAGGGGAGAAGCCGTATTCCTGTCCTGAGTGTGGGAAATGTTTTTCAGTGAAGTCCAATCTTAACACACATCATAGATCTCACATGAGGGAGAAGCCACTTTCCTGTCCCGAGTGAGGGAATTGTTCCTCACTGAAGTCCTGTCTTCCTGTACATCAGGGGTCCCACACAACCCTGGAGGTGTATTAGTGCCTTGAGTGCGGGAAATGTCTTCTAGATGAATGTTGCTGGACATCCCAGCTCTCATGTGGGGAAGAAGCACACCCTGATATACACCTCAGATATACTCCATGGCTGATCTTCATCATGGAAGAAACAGTTCATAAGGAGATCAGAGGTCACCAAAGACATGGATGAAGTGTGGGACCGGGTCAGACATTGATAGCAGGAGAAGAAGTTTTCAATGTATTTTCCATCATTGGAAGACATTCCAGCAGCTCAGATGTGATCCTAATAACCAACCTATTAGCCATCTATGAGGAGGTGAGCTGTAATCTGGATAAAGGAACCCCCATGGATGTAGTGTATATGGACTTCACCAAAACATCTGACACGATACCCCATAAATGCTTAATCCACAAATTGAGGCATGTTGGTGCTGAGAATAGTGTATGTACACGGATAGAAAACAGGTTACTGGGGGGGCGATAAATGTACCTCTGAATGGTCTGAGTTATAAGTGGGGTACCCCAGGGCTCTGTTCTGGGTCCAATTCTGTTCATAAATGATATAGAGGTCGGTATAAATAGTTCAATCTCAGTGTTTGTTGATGATTCAAATCTAAGCAGAGCAAAACCTTCACCACAGGATATATAAACGTTTCAATAAAATAAAGGGGTGACAACTACATGGCAAAGGAGGTTTCATGTAGGAAAATGTAACGTAATGTACTTGGGGGCTAAAAATATGAATGCCAGCTACACGCCAGGGCAGGGGTGGGCAACTGTGGCCCACCATCTGTTGTGGAACTACATGTCCCAGAAAGCATTGCAAGATGACAGTTACAAGCATGACTCCCAGAGGCAAAGGCTGATGGGAAGACTGACAGTTACTCCAAGAGGCAGAGGCATGATGGGACTTGTAGTTCTGCAACAGCAGGAGGGCCGCAGTTGCCCACCTTTGTACTAGGGGATGAACCTCTGGGGGAATCGAGGATGGAGAAGGATCTGGGGGTCCTAGTGGATCACAGACTCAGCAATAGCATGCATACCAAGCCGCAGCAAGCAAAGAATATCCATGCAAAAGGGAATTTATATAAAACGATAATTCTCCCACTTTACAAAATGCTGGTTTGGACACATCTGGAGTATGGCATCCAGTTCTGGTCACCAGTCCTCAGGTTGGATGTGCTGGAACTGGATTGAGTCCAGAGAAGGGTAACAAAGCTAATAAAAGGGCTGGAAGAACTCAGTTATGAGTAATGACTACAAACATGAACAGGGTGAACTGACAACTCATGGGGCCTATGTGTAATTGCCCAAACTCAAAAAAGCCTATGAAAAAGGTACCAGGGGCATCTCATGGGGCCCCCTACTGACCCCAGGCCCTCGGGCAGTGCCCGAGTTTCCAAATGGTCAGTCCGCCCCTGAACATCAAACGTATTCTCCTTGGAGACGAGACCCTTCAGAGGAGATATGATAATGATATAGAAATATATTTGTAACATAAATGTGGGAGTCGGGTAGCTCTGCCAGTAGCTGAGATGTGATGTGATCTGTAGAAGGATGTGATTGTAGATCTAGTTTCATTCTGTGTTATTAGAGATACAGTGTTCAGTGATCAGTCAGAGACATATGGTCACCAATTAGCATCTGAAAGGACAGAGCAGCTTCTAGGCCAGTAGTAGAGACACCGAGATGCCAATAAAACTCTCACCCATGTAGACATAGATTTCTCACCTTCCTGAAGCTAAAAGAAGAGTACTAGCCATTTTGGCTACAAGGGCCAGCAGGAGACAGGGAGAAGGCTGCTGGCTTTGATTTATATCCACAGATAAGAGGAATCTATTTAATCTCTCATAAAAGCTAAAATATTAGTTGCAGAGAGATGAAAATACTTCCTTCTGATTAGACACACTGTAGGCTCCATCTACATGTAAAACTGTATTTGTAGCCTCTGTAGAATCCCACAGAAACACACAAAACAGTTATATGGCGCCTGATTGCAACAGCTGAACAGTGATTGGTACTGTCGCGATCGGAGTGATGCGCTGGTGTCGGAGATCCTATTCTGCACCCAGCCATCAGAACCGTTCCTGACCCATTCAGCTCTGGGCACTTCAGAACACAGAACATCCTGTGGGCTGGTGCAGGAACACCCCCCAGAGTTGATTGGCCAAAGTCCCGCCCACATCCATATTTCAATAAATTGGGGACCCTGAGATATGGATGGGGTGATTCTTATGGAGCCGGTTCCATATGACTGGCGAATCGCAGACTTTCTTTGACTTGCTCCAGTCACAGGATAAATCTTGGTAAACGTTTTATTTCTGTTTTCATTCTGCTTTTTATTTCACAGTGAATAGCTAATTTTGTGTCTTTCTGTCTTGTGTTGTATTCTTTGTAACCCTCTTTCTTGTGTATATTTTATGCTGTCGGAATATTAAATCATAAAATTAATGATTTCTGTGTACTAAGCTGGGGCTCATATCTCCAGAGAGATTGTTGTATTGTAGTGTGTTATGTGCTCAGTCTAAGTTCATTGCCAATCTGTATGCAATTGTACTGCATGTTGGAAGATTTCATGCAGATTGTAAAGTAACAGATCTGCCAGATGGAGATCTGTGTGTGTGTGTGTGGTGTGGGGGGGGGGGGTGTGGACATTGGAAGAGTGATGAACACTGGGGTTCTAGCTTGTAGGATAGCTGGAGAAATCCTAGAAGGGTGTGCCAATTGCTAGACTGCCCCCCAACCCTTAGCGTGCACCAGATTGTATGTAAGATTCGTATCTGCCTGTGTGGGGTAACCCAGCTGGATTGGAGTCTCCCTCTAATGGTACATGAAAAGCAGAAATGGCCGGCACTAAGGATGAAATCCAACTGTATATTCCTATATTGAAGCACGTACAAAGCTAAAAACACCAACACGTTTCTGACATGTCAGTCTTTAGTCATGACTAGTATAAAGTAAGGTAAAACACACTTATATAGTATTACAAACAAGTCACATGACATAACACATACACTATATTGCCCAAAGTATTGGGCCAGCCATCCCAATCATTGGATCAGGTGTTCCAATCCCCTCCATGGACACAGGTGTATACAATCAAGCCCCTAGGCATGCAGACTGCTTCTACAAACATTGGTGAAAGAATGGGTCGCTCTCAGGAGCTCAGTGACTCCAAGCGTGGTCCTGTGATAGGTGGCCACCTGTGCAATAAGTCCATCCGTGACATTTCCTGGCTACTAAATATTCCACGTCACTATATTATAAAAGTGGAAGCAACTGGGAAAAACAGCAACTCAGCCACCAAGTGGTAGGCCACGTCACATGACAGAGAGGGGTCAGCGCATGCTGAAGCGCACAGTGCGCAGAAGTCACCAACTGTCTGCAGAGTCAATAGCTAAAGATCTCCAAACTTGGTGTGGCCTTCAGATGAGCCCAACAACGGTGCGTAGAGAGCTTCATAGAATGGGTTTCCATGGCTGAGCAGCTGCATCCAAGCCTTCCATCACCAAGTGCAATGCAAAGCGTCGGATGCCGTGGTGTAAAGCACGCCGCCACTGGACTCTAGAGCAGTGGAGGTGTGTTCTCTGGAGTGACCAATCACGCTTCTCTGTCTGGCAATCCAATGGACATGTCTGGTCTTGGCGGTTGCCAGGAGAACGGTACTTGCCTGACTGCATTGTAATAGGAAGAAGGGTCAGCCATACACCTGGAGGATAGATGAATATAGTGTGTATTTATTGATCCATAGGACACACAAAACACCAGGACATGAATACAGGACCTGTTAACGCGTTTCACCCGATCTCATGCTTAATCATAACAAAGAAAACAACAAAAGTGCCGTCTTATATAGGTATTAGTTAATAAAGAACACCTGTCCTAATCAGCACTCCTGAATCCTGAGGATACGCCTACTAATACATTGTAACAAGACATATAAAACCATTACATCAGAAGTAGTGATCTCAGAGAACAACAAGAAAGGAAGAAAAGAAAAAAGGAAAGCGAAGTGGAATAAAAAGAGAAACAAAGAAAGAGAAAAAGAATAATGAATAAAAATAATTATGAAAAAATGATGAATGAAAAGTAAAATGAAAAATGAAATAACATACATAAACACACATAAAAGCAAGTAAAATATCCCAAAAAAGATATAGGGTAAGAAGCCACATTTGTAAATAATCAAAATTTAAATAATAATATATACAAAGAACGCATACAAAAAAACGCATGTCTACTTGGGATAAAGTACAAAAAAACCACAGAAAATAAAAAAACATACATATTCAGACAGGAATATATCAAAACAGCAGAAAAAATATGTATCAAAAGTAACGCATCAAATGACAACGCATCAAAAGACAAAAGTAACGCATCAAAAAAAAAAAGAAAAAAAAATTCCAAAGGGAAAAGCAAGATGGTATTAAAGACATGTGTGCACACATGAGGTGCATGATGTACCCAAATGAACATGCTGCGCATCCAAATAAACTAAGTAATGAAGTATATGAAAGGATATATATATATATATATATATATATATATATATATATATAATATATATACATAAAAACTACTCAATTAACATAATATATATATATATATATATATGGATAGATGCACACACATGTACATATACACACATTCTTCTATATACAGGGGTGAAGGGAACACTAGAGACATGTTCTCTATCAATCATAAACATATGTGATGTCCCATTCATGGTTCACACCCCGTGGGACGCGTGTATTTAGATGGAATATCCAGAATATCTCCCTTTTGCACAATCGTAAAAACGTATCTCCACCTCTTTTTATACGACCAATTTTTTTCAGTGCCCTGTACCTGTACTGCCGTAATATCTCCTGCATGACAATTACTGAAATGTCGGGCCACAATAGTAGAGAGATTTCTTTCTATACTATATAGACGTTCATAAAAACGATC